TTGTTATTTTATGATATTTTTATTGATTATTATGACTTTTTTCACATTTTCTTTCCGTCATCTAGAACATTGCAGTTTAAGTACATTAATCAGTTAGAGATTGTTGATTATCAGGCCAACTGTGCATCAGTATTGCATCTCCCTAATACTGTAGGGAAATGGATATTAGTTCCATATGTATGACTTTTTGAATATTCATAAGCCTCAATTTTTCAGTTGAATTGCTTGTAGAATTAATTAATTATCCTCTGTCCCACAGTTTGTAAACAGCCTCAACCACAAGAATGGCGAGGCACTGTTGGATGAAGTTGTCGACATTATCCACCGGCTGCGTCGCTCTCCGGAAACAGTGCGCACGCTCCCCTCGACAAACCATGCTGTCCTGCGCTTGCTCTTGGACACCGACAGCACCCATATCCTCCTGAAACTGCTCTCAGATCCTCTCAATTATGGAGTATTTCCTGACCATTATACGACTAATCTGCTCATGGATTATTACATTAAGAAGGAGGACTTCACGGGTAAGTTTGCATAATGTAGCTAGAGGTGTTCACATTTTGTTGCTTTTGTTCTTGCATAATTGTAGAATGATTTCTATTAGGTTAGGTTAGCATATATAACTTTATTTGTTTTTCATGTTTGTAGTATGTCTAAGCTTAAAGTGATTATGTGGTTGCTTTAAGAAGATTGCAGACACAAGAAATTAAATTAAAACAACATGAATTAACTTGGAAGATAAATTGTTACATTTTTGCACTTTCTTTCTCAGCTGCTGCTCGCATTTCTTCAGTGAAGATGCTCCAGGAGGACTTTGGGCCCAAGGTAACCCAGGTCCTGACACTGGCCTCATGTTATTTCTATGCAACATCAGACAACAATCAGCCATGGGAAGACTACACTCCAAAGGTGGAAGAGCCTAAAGAAGAGGTGAGAATCCCCCCCCCCCCCCCAACTTAATGTACCCTAGTTGTGTGTTGTTTTTTTTCCCACCTTTTTTTATATTCAGCATATGGTGTTTACTAACTTAGTTTCCTGAGCTGCACATGGCTAAAATTGAAGTAAAATACAATTTTGTATTATAACTCTAGATGTCTCTTAATATATTTCCTCCCCTTACGGTTCAGGTGAAAATCAGGATAAGATACTTGAGAAACCCATACTTCGACGACCATTTTGACCTGAAGGAACCCAATCACATCGTTGGAAAGACACTTGCTTGGGTGTCCCCTCTCATTGGGGGCACTGTAGGGTCAAGCTGCGAGCTCCTGGGTTGGGCACTATATAACAAGTGGGATGAGCTTGAAGCAGCACTAAGCCATCTGAGTGATGGAAAGGAACCTGTTGCTGGCTCGGTTGTGAGTGGATTTTTTGTTGACGTTATTTGTTTAGAATTTTCCAATCTATTTTCCATTTTTGATTGTTTTTGAATTGCTTTCTTGAAAAGAAAAATGTTAAATGTTGTGTCTTCTTAATTTGTATATAAGTGTATAGGTAATTGATTTGGATAAGACATTTAGTGTTATAAAGCCAAAAAGCTAATTCTTAGGATAGAGGGTGATCATTGTAAATGAGGAAAAAAAAATATATATATATATATTGCATTAAAAGTAGTTATGTTCATATTCACTGTCACATTCATCTAGTTCTTTCCATGTGTTTATAGTATATGTACATATATATATGTTACACATATGCATTTACATCAATTCGTATAGGTTACCAGGGTTACAGTATCTTAGATAGACTTTGTAGTCATTATTATTATATTCATTATCCAAATCACCATTATCATCATCATCTATACTAACAAACATGAATCCTGTCCAAGATCAACACTGTTAAAGAAATAATGGAGAGCTGTGAAGACCAAGACAGCCGAGAGAAAGTCATGTCAGCAATAACAAGAATAGAAGGGACTGAAGGCAAAGTTGCAGAAGTGGACATCAAAGACCTGGTTGACAAGATGATACAGGAGGAGGTGGCTGCTGCAGAAGCCACTTTCATTAAGGAACAGGTACGTCCAGAAGAGTATGAATGGGAAAGAGTGAAAGAATGATCATATACGATGTATATATGAGCATGTCTGCAGTAGATCTATGCATCCATGTAGAAGGTATGTTTAAATTAGATATTCTTGATATATATAAATTTCCCCCCCAAAAAATTATTTATTTTTATTTATGTACTGTAAACCATTATAACTTGCTTTACTATTGTG